ATTATTTTAAATTCGGTTAAAACGAATTTATTTCTTCATAAAAATCATAATTTCATTTTTTAATGTTGAAAGAATTATTAAACATCTTTCAAAAATGTTATTGTGACTTTAATTTATTTTAACATTTCAACCATTAGTTTCCTTCATTCATAATGAATAAAAATCACATTTGAATAACTTGGATATATCCTTTATTTCTTTATTTCTTACAATGATTCTCTTTGTATATTCTAATTAATCTATTTGAATTTAATCATCAATTTTACCATACTATCTAAAAACACAATTTTTTAATTTAACTTCAGAATATAATAAAATTTAATAAATAATAAATAATAAATAAAATGTGATTAATACTCTTCTTCTGTACATCATTTCAATTAACTATTGAATATTCTCAGTTATGTTGAATTAAATAATTAGACATTGAAAATATAAAACTGTCTTTTTACTGAAAATAAAATTAAATAAAATAAAACATTAATTGAAGGGAGTAAAAAGAAAAACTTCTAAATGTCAAAATAGCATATTTATATAAATTAATATTTCAAATGATCTAAAAATACATAAAATATATTTATTATTTTTATAAGAACAAAAAAAAAAAAAAAAAAAAAAAAAGGTCAATTATTAGATATATCCTCAATTGGATTTTCTTCATACTGAGAAGTGATTATTTCAGTTTCTTCAATATGCTCTATTGGTGTAATAGAGTTCATTTCTAGCATGCTCGCATTAGATTGTTCTTCTTCTAATGTGCTGCCAGAATTTCCTGTATAAAACATTAAGTCTTTCATATTTTGATTATAATTGTTCGTAGGATTTTGGGGAAGTGTAATTGTAATTTTAGTGTTTTTAACCTTCTTACTGATTCTTTATGTATTAATCCATTTATTGATAATATTACAGGTATTATTTCTACATATATTAATTCTCTATTGTTTCTTAATTTCTCTTGTAATTCTTTGTATTTATTTATTTTATGAATATAATTTAATTCTAAATTATTATCTTGACATATAGCAACATCTATAATATATCCTTTCTTTTCTTTCATATTTTGATATTATATATCTGGTCTTCTAGCATGGAAAGAATGGTCACTAACCAATAAATCTTTATTGTAAGTTATAACCATTTTATCATTATTAATACATTTTGGAGGATTATTAAAATCAATTGCATCAAATTCATTAAAATGTGTAATTAATATCTGTTTAAATATTTGTTTACAAACATAATCATGTTTTAATATTTGGTTCTTTTTCATTACAGGACATCCTAACAATATATGACTAATAGATGCTATTGTGTTAGGGCAATGTTTACAATATTTTAAAGCATCATTTTGGAGTATTTTAGATTTAATATTTCCTGTCATAGTTACTCCTTCTTGCATCTTTACTATTTGGAGGAATGCATTTCTTTTTATATTTAGTGATCTCCAAGTGGCTACTGTTAATTTCTTATCATTAAAAGTGCCATTTGCACATCTTATATATTCACCACATTTCTTTTCTTTCCATTCACTTAAATATCTTTCATTTAATTCATTATTTACCCATTCAAATATTTCCTTTACATTGTGCTTTCTTTCATTTAATTCTATTACATTCATTAATTCATTAAAATTAATCTTCTTACCAAATGCTTTATTCATTCTTTTAATTATTCCATTTGGATTTTCTTTTATTGCTTCTATCATTTCTCCTATTTCTGTGCTTGATCTCCACTTATATTTTAAATATATTCTTAATAATTCTTTACCACATTCATCTCTTGCTGACATTAATCCTAATCCCAATTCATTTATTTTAACAAATAGCATACTTTTTGGAATATTTCTACTATATAATTGGAGGTGAATTAATGATTTTCTTATTTGTTTATCTATCTTCTCCAATTCTCATAGTTTCCATGGGACAATACAAAATCCATATCTTAATTTGGAGATTATATCACTATTAATCTTTCTTATTGTATTGAGGTTGCTATATTTCATAGTATTTAATGATGATAAAATAGAAGATACAACATTTAATATTCTTGTACAGTATTTATTAATATTTACTTTATCTCCTATTTCAATACCAAGATATTTATAAGGGTTGTCAATAGTTACTCTTGGTAGTTCAGCTAATTCACCATTTATTTGACTATTAATATTAGTCATTATCCCACTCTTTTCTACATTAATTTTTAATCCTATTGCATTAAATATTTCTTTAGTTAATTTGTGTGCTTTTTCCATTTCATCGAGGCTATTAGTCATTATCTTTAAATCGTCCATATATAATATGTGGTTTAACTTGACTTGTTTTTCTTCTCCATTCATTTTAATATTTAATTTGTTAATTTGTTTATCTAATTGTTTAGATAATATATCAATAGATAATACAAATAAAAGTGGAGATAGGCTGTCACCTTGTATTATTCCTATTTCTACATTAATTATACCCACACTTTCTTTATTATAATATAAATTAAGATGTGTATTAATTAATATATATAATATACTATTAATTACTACAAGTGGGATATTAAAATATATTAAGCATTGTTTAATCCATTGATGATTAATACTATCATATGCTTTGGAAATATCATAATATGTTTCTACCCACTTCCATTTATTCTTATTAATAATTGAATGATTATAGTGTTGTATAATAATAATTCTTTTGATGCATATGTATATTTCTTACATCCAATTTGATTTAATGAAAGTTGTTTTTCAATTGGATTTAACATCAATTGATTTTCTATTTTCATCTTTAATATTGATGTATACACTTTTAACAGACAATTTAAGCACGTTATTGGTCTGTAATTCTGTGGGTCTAATTTATCTCCTTTCTTATATATTAATATTGTTCTTCCTTGAATGAAATGAAGAGGTATTTCATTAGGATTGCTTAACCATTCATTAAATAATTTTAATAAATACTTCTTTGGTTGTTCTAAATATTTAATCCAAAATCATTGTATTTTATCAACTCCCGGTGCCTTCCAGTTAGCAATAAATTTAATAGCACAGTCTAATTCATTGGGAGTGATTATAGCCATTCTATTATTAATTCTGTTTTCTATTAATATTTCATATAAATTAATATTCAGGAAATCTATATTAGTATTAGTTTCATAGATTCCTTTCCAGAAATTAATAGTGGAGATATTATCTGGATATTCATCTTCTTTAGGCTTATTTAGGTGTTGTCTTTTTCCATATTTCATCATTTTATAATTCCATCTTATTCTTTTCAAATTATTCTTTCTTGCTTCTATTTCTATTATTTTCATCTTTCGGAGGTATTTATAATAGTTTATTTGTTCATTTGTTTTTATTTTAATATAATATATATCATATTTCTTAATATGTAATATTCTTTTTAATTTCATATATTGTTTATTATTGAGTAAATCTCTTAATCTACATATTTTTGATTGTAATATTCTTTCTATACTTCTCTTTCCACTTCTTTCTTGTTTATTTTTATTAATGATGTTAATAGTGGAAGCTACAGATTTAATATAATGATAATAATCATCTAATGTATTTATTATTATTTCATTTTTATTAATAATATTAATTATTTGATGTACTTTCTTCTTATTATAATAATAGTTAATAAATTGTACATCTTCTTGTTCTTTCTTTTCTTCTTCTTTAATTATTTCATTACCTCCTCTTCTTCTATTTCTTCTTTCTTCTTTTTTGTTCATTCTAGTTATTAATTCTTTTAATCCATTATCTTGACATTGATGTTTTATTATTTCTTCCTCCATTATTCTATTTATTTCTCTTTTAATTTCATTCTTTATTTGAAATGTCTTCTTTATTACTTCTTTATATTCATTAATATCATTAACTTTAATTCCAAATTCATGTATTAATCTTTCTATTATTTCTTCTTTTAGTTGACCTCTTAATTTTCTTTCAAATAATTTCAAAGCAAAACATTTATAAAGTGTTAAAATTTCTTCTTCTCTATTTGTTTGCTTCCCCCGTTTTTTTGATTATCTAATTCAAATGTGTTGATCTTCTTATGCTGAATATCCATTTCTTCAATGAATTTCTGCGTTAACTTTCTTTTTTTTTGGAAGATCATCTTCACTTGATGATATTTCATCAGCTACTACCACATTGGGGGAGAGGTCATTCACAATTTGTGATTCAGATGAGTCTGTTATGTTGTAATTTACCTCATCTTTCTTCTTTTCTTCCTATGTGTGTTTTTATTTTCTAATTTAGATAATTTATCTTTCAGGAAGAGTAATTGTTGTGTTAAATTATTTATTTCAAACATTTTCCTCTCAGACTCAGCATGGAATTTGAATATTTTTTTATCGCACTCGTGGTTTTTTTATCTCATTCTCATGCTTCTTCTTTAATGCCATAATATCTTTTGTTAGTTTTTTTATGGTTTGGTCTTTTATTTGTAATTCCTTTTTCATTTCTTCTTTCTCTTTCATATCCTCCTCCACTTTCTTTTCTATTTCTTCTACTCTTTTTTTCTTTTTACTGTTTTCTTCTTCCTTTTCTTTCAGCCTCTTCTTCTCTCCTTTAGTAAACCTCTTCCTCTCCTCAGCAAGCCTAGCTTCTACTCTCGTAGAATCTTTATCATCGTCTTCTTCACTTTCAATACTCATTACATAGTTATTGTATATTCTATTGTCTTTAATTTCAATTGGATTGTACTGATTATTGTCTTCTTCCATCGTCATACTAATAGTTTCTTCTTCCATTCTGATTGTTTTGGTTTTTTCTCGTGCAAGAAAATACCATCTTCTCCATATTGTTGATGATGTATATTCTTTAATCTTGGTATTTTTAATTTCTTCTATTTCTTGTGGTATAAATATTTTAATTTCTTCTTCAAAGAGTCTTTTCCAATATTCTTGATTTTGTGTTTCAATCATTTCTTTTCTTTGATTTCTGTTTTGTTTCTTATTTTGATATTGTTTATACCTTCTTTGAGTGTTATTGTGGTATTTGTTTTTCTTATATTGATATTGTTTATTTCTATTGAAGTTGTTATTATTATCAAAGTGTTTATGACGATGATTATAATTGAAGTGATGAGTGAAACGATTTGTATCATCTATGTTATGATAGTTATGGTAATAATTGTTATTGTAATGGTTAGTGTGATTATTCATGTATCTCTGTCCATACAGATAATATCTATTTTCACTCATTCTTCTGTCATTTATATTTCTTGGTTGATGTGAATTTCTTCTTTTTTGGTTATTTATTTTTTTATATTTTTTGTGGTGTCTCCTGTAATGCATCTTTTTTTTTTTTTATTATTTTTATAAGAACAACAAAAAATAAACACCAAAAATATTCAACAATTTTAAATACTCAAAATAATCAGAATAATAAAATATTGATATTTTAACTTATTTGTATTTTTTGAATATAAAATCAGTGAAACTAGTTATATAAACAGTATTCAACTATCAAAATTACATAATGTGAATTATTTAATTCTCTTACCTACCAATAATAATTATTAAAGTTATTCTCAAACAAATTACAAAGAAATTTTTAACTTATGTATGTAGAGTTTTGAGCAAAAAAAATACAGAGTGATGACAAAGTTATTCTTAAATAATACTTATTTTAAATAAACAACAAATTGTTTTACTAAGAAATATTCTCAAACCCTCTGTGTAATTCATATAATACATTTATTGTTAAAAAAAACAATACAAATACTGTGCAAGAATAAATTAATTTGTAGAAGTTTTATAAGACTCTAATTTCTTTTTTATTTCTCTGAGCAATTCCAAATCATCTACAATGTTCTTTATTTGATTTTCACTCTCCTTTATAATCTGATTTAATTCCTTATTTCTTTGTTTTTTTAATTGAAGAATGAGAATTTTAATATCTTTTTTTTCTTTATCAGCCTCTTTTATTGAATCATTCTTTTTTGTTGTCTTATCAAAATTTTCATGTATTTTTTCTAGGACATCATCTTGTTCAAATTTTAAAGGGATTGTTAAACCTTCATCAATGATAAAATATCCTAATGGTGTACTATTACTGAGTTTTACTTTTTGGAAATGATTTTCATTAGACAATATTTTTTCTTTTTTACACTCATAATTTTCATGTCCATTATAGTAAAATTGGTCTAATTTAATAGTTGCTGAATCCCATGGATAATTTTCTTTAGAAAGAATAACTTCATTTTTATATTTAATTTCTAAATTTTGGGATGTTATTTTTGTAATAGTTGGAAAACCTCCAAGTGTGACTAGAATTGAATTCTCTGGATATTCTTGTCCATTAATTTGAAATTCTCCTTTCTCTATCAAACGGCTAATATAAAAGAATTTAATTGAATGAACTTTTTGAGACGCTTCAGTATTTGTATCTCTCTGATAATTTTCTATATCTTCAGAACTAATACTAAGTTTTTTTGCAACACAACAAGCACCACAACTATTGCATGTCTCATTATCAAGAACCATTAATGGAGTTAGTCCTATACTTTCAATTAATGTTCTATAAAGAGAAATTCTTCCAGAAGACCCAATAATGCAAACTTCCTGAATTTTATTTTCAATGTTCATAGACTTCATTTTATCATTACATTCTTCTATACCTTCTTTTATAACTTCTTCAATAACCCCTTTTGTCTCTTTAAGTATTTCTGACATTACATTATTCATATCTTCTCTTGTAACTTCTACATCTGCAGTTACTTCACTTGATAGGTCAATCTTGAGTGTTCCTTCATTCACAACACTATTACAGAATAGTGTCTTTAATTTAATTAAACTCTGTTGAACTTTACTTTCTAGTCTTTTCATCTTTTTTTCATCATCACCATTTTCTTCCATAAATTCTTTTACATCATCATCATCTAATTCTTTGATTTTATGCATTATTAAAGCTCTTAATTTTTCATCAATATTCTGTCCTCCAACTTCAATACTTCTTCTTGAAACTAAAAGAATTTCATTTCCATCAAAAATACATAACTGACAAAATGTATGACTTGACCCTACATCTAATAAAACTAATGGCTTAATAAAACCTTTTATTTCGAGTTGTGTAATACAATACCTATTAAATAAATATGATACACTTGATGCTACATCTTCTCCAATAATGACAACATCATTAAATCCAATTAATGACATTGCTTCATTAATTTGTTTTCTTTCAAGAAAACCAAATGTATAAGGAACACTAATAACCATATGATCTATTTTATCTATTTTTAATTCCTCTAAATAACTTTTTATCATCATTGATAAAATAACTTCAATACTAACTTCTCCAAAGTGTTCACAATCAAAATATCCATTAACACACTCTTTTCCTTTGATAATACTTGGTTTTCTATTTCCAAGCCATTGACAAACATGATGAATTACTCTTTCTGGAAACTTTAATTCATTATCAAGTATGCTCTTTTCATTAAATTGGAATGATGTGGTATAAGTAACACTCCCTAGAAAGTGACTTTCTATTGATGGCTTTAAGAAATTAGGTGTAACACCCTCCCACTTAGAGATAACAATTTTTTCACTTCCTAAATCTATTCCAATTACCACAGGATTATCTGTCATAACGTAATATTGCCTTTTTATTATTTAGTTCTTTTGTTTAGATATTAATATTATTTTTATAATATTTTTTACTTATTACTAATTATAGCTAAAAATAATGCTTTTTTAATTAAACATCATTTTAGGATTTTTCTTTTAATTTGTTGATGTTTCAGTTGTCAAATTCGTTTAGAATAATATAACCACAGAATGACATTCACCTTAATTAATTGTACAATTGTTTTAATATTTTATATTTTTTTCAACAAAATGATTTTTTAATATGTTATGCTTTAATGATTATTATTTCTTTTCCAATGCAGGAAATACAACAAATTTTAATGACATGGCTATTGTGTATAACCTTTCAGTATTGTAAAGAAAAGCAAACAAGTCATAGAAATCAAATGTCATATAAAAAGAATGAATATCAATAACAATAAACGGCATAACAATAATAATGGTAAATGAAATACCAAGGGAAAAGGGATTAGAAGACGAAAAATACAAATAAAAAACAAGATAAGTACAATAATAATAAAGATTAAACAAATAACAAAACAAATGATTAAAAATAAATGATATACAAGAAAGAATAAAAAGAATAACAAGTGAATGGAATAAAGGAGAGTATGAAGAAATACATAAGAAGTAAAAAGATAAAAGAAAAAGATGATATGATAATCAAAAAGAAGTATATTCAATCAAAAAATAATAAAGCAAATAATTAAGTATTAATAGAATTGTCATTTATTCATTACTTAATAGATGTTATTCATATCATATATACATCATTAAATTGAGTAATTCATTTCTTTGATTAATTATTTAATTATTCTTCTTGTTTCGTGAATAATTCTTTTTATTTTATTTCTTTCTTCTATTTATTTATTTCATCTGTTTATTTATTTTTTTTTATTTTATTTTTAAAGAATATCTTTCTTTATTTCTTATTTTATGTTGAATGAATACTTAATTAATTGCTTATTATTATATTTATTTTCTTTTCTTATTATTCTTTCATATTATCTTATTTCATTCTTTGTATTATTAATTAATACATTTTTTATTCAATTACATCATCATAACCAAATATCAATTGATAAAATTATTATTTGATTTTGTATTATTGTTTGTATATGTTTCTGATTTTCATTCTTCATTTCTCATTCAAAATCAAATAACAAAATAGAAGAATAAAAATTTAAAAAAAGAAGCTCAAACACATCAAACAGAATTGGTACACTTTTAATTATCTCATTTTAAATAACAAATAAATCAAAAGACTAATTGAAATACATTGTAAGAAATACAATAGTTTAAACAACTGGAGTTGTTGCGATTTCAACGACTGGTGGTGCAGATTGATGAACCTCTTGAGTAAATGGATCAATATATCTTGGTCTTCTTCCAGATGCAGTATGAGGTTGACTAGTACTAACAGGTGGAGTTGCAGTTGGTGGAAGAGGAGAGCTTTGAGGAGGTAAAGGAGAAGAAGGTGGCATAGGACTTGGAGTAGAAGAACCTTTATTATTTAATTCACTTTGTTTTATCCATCTTTGACTTGCCTCATCAAAAACTAATTTGTCTTCAGTCTCTTCGAGATTCATATTTGTGGCATTTCCCTTTCCAAACCATGAACCAAACCAACCAGACATTCTTTTGTTATATAAGAATTTATAGTTTTCTTTTTCCTCTAATTCATTCTTTCTTCTTTTTTTTTTTATTTTTTTTATCTCTTTTTCTTTTTTCTTCTATATTTTTTTATTATTCTTTTTATTATTTATTATTAGGGTTTTCAGAGATCGAAGGTGGCACGTCTGAAACACCACACATAAACCCTAGTACAAATTCATACTTCGACTCTCCCAGTTATTATCTGGTTATGACGGTGCCTTTGAATTAGGAATGTATTAGGGAAGCTGCAAAGGGTGCAGCAAGAGAATACAGTAGAATATTACATGGATGTAATATAAGAATCTACTGAAGTGTGGGTATGACTAAAAGAAGATTAGTCAAAGGAAGACTAAAAAGAAAATTAGTCAAAGTAATACAGTAGTAATAAAATGATTCCTTCTCCCATTCATAAAATAAGAAAAATGAAATTCCTTAAAATTAAGGCAGAAAACAAACAAAGGCTTAAAAAGAAGAAATAAGCAGAAGAAGTTTGAAAAACCTTAATAAGAAGAAATAAAGCAAAGAAGTGCTTTCCTCATTTTGCAAGAAAAACATAAAGAATAGGTTTAACAAAGAGATTACTCTTTTTTAATAATAAGCTCAGGGATGGGATTAGTCTCCCTTGAGCTAGGAAGAATATATGAAAATTCTATTAATACTTAATTAATTACTTTTTCTTATTATTAGGGTTTTCTTAATTTACTTTTTAGTTCTTGTGTTTTTATCTTTTTAACAAAACTTCTGTAAACTAAATTTATATAATAGCTTAATAAATATGAACCTTTAATTAATGGTCATTCCTTTTCTTCAGACTCTTGTGATTCTTCTTCATTATCGTTATTTATAATTTTCATTTGGCCGTCTTTTGTTTCTCTAACTGATGGTTGGTCTTTGTATAAGTCATAAATTTGTTTATTTGTTGTAATATCATTTACTTCCTTATCATCTCTACTTCTAATGTACCTTGGAAATCTTAAACAAACCCCTCTTCCTTCTGTATTAACTAATTTTGTACCAGCCTTATATTGCAATGATAGTGATAAATCAGCTCCTTTAATTTCCCATACATCTTTTGGTTCAAACCAAACATCAGGAAGGTTGTCTCCATGTTTTACATTCTTTTTTTCTTTGCATTCTAGAGTCTTCAAATGTTCATACAATTTTTGAAGAGCTTCATCACTAAATCCAGTTCCAACTTTTGTAACTGTCTCAAAATCTCCACTGTCTTCATCTCTACATGCCAATAAGAATGCTCCATAGACTCCAGCCCGTTTTCCTTCTCCCATCCAAGCCCCAACTGGAACAAGGTCAACTGTATCGGCTAATCCATTTAAATAATCTTTTTTTAATTTATACCATGTGTCAGTCCTTTTGTCAGGAATATACTCTGCGTCATAGATGAGAGTTTTGCACATTAGCCCTTCGGTTCTATGGTTTATTGCTTCTTCAAAAAATGGTAAAATGTCTTCCTCATTTTCAATATTCTTAAATCTTGCAAACAAAAATCTCTGTGAAACTTCATGAAATGTTGAATGTAAAATGTCACGACGTTCTTTTAATGGTTTATCCATTAAATCTTTACCATTTAAATAAACAATGTCAAAAACATTTACACAAACATTAATGGCAATTGAATGAACTGATACTCCTTTTTTCGCTCTTCTTCCAAGAATTTGGAATTCTTGAAATTCATTTGTTTCTCTATTAAAGGCAACAATCTCACAATCTATAATAAATGATTGAATATTTGGATTAACTGCATCTTTTACTGCTTCAATAACATCAGGATATTTTTCGGTATAATTTTCAAGATTTCTTGTAAAAACCATAATTTTGTTTTTATTAAAATGAATTTGACCACGTTCACCATCATACTTATATTCAGCAGTAAATGGAAATTTAAATCTAGAAGTAATATCAGTTATACTTTTCTTAGGTTTGGCTAACATTGGTCTAAATGGAATAAATAATTGAACTGAATTTGTTTTAGCAAATTCTTCAAATGGATCATTTGCTGTAATGTGTTCAGATAAATATTGAAACGATGGAACACGAGCAACAGCATTTGTAATTAATTCAGTTAATTCCTCTATTCTGTTGTTTTCTTTTCTGATTGAACAAACTGCCTGTGCTATTGCAGGAGGTAAAGACCTATCAGTAAACCCAATTCTAAAAACTCCTTTAAGTATTCTCAAAATAAAACGAATTTCATTTCCTATAGCTGCAACTAATAACGCAGTAATTTTATTCTTTTTAATATCACTATTATCAGCTTCAAGAATCTCTTTCATACGAAGTACAACTCCTTGAATTGTAAGTGGCTTTGGTTGAACTAATAACTTTTGGTTCTTCTTTGAGTTTTGAGCTACAATTCCAATATCACCTAATTCTTTTATTTTATCATTTAACTGACTCAATTTTAATCCAGTGACACTTTTTACAACATCTTTTAAAATAGCATCTCCAATTCCTAATTCTTTTCCTTCCCAAGTAGGAGCAATTTGTCCAGTAGTTAAATTCAATACATCAGTCAAGTCGTTAGGACATATAGTTATTACAGTTTTAAGATAATTAGCATAAATCTCTCTTTTTTTCAACTTTCCACTTTCATTTTCTAAAGCATCAAAACAATCAGCTAAACCTTTGAATGGTAAAGTTTTTACTTTCTGTTCAGGAAAAGAATTACCTTCTTCTTTTATCTGTAAACTTTGATTTTTTTCTTCAATAGACTCTTGTTTTTTTTTTTCATTTCCTTTTTCATCACTTTTATTTTCTCCATTATTTTGACCTCCCACTGTAGCTCGTTTAGCAGGTTTAAAGAACCGTGAGAGGGAGGATTGTCTTTTTGACATGAAATATAGATTTAAGTTTAAAACGAAAAATAAAAATGAGTTATTTGAAAAATAATGTTATATATACAAATATATAATAGAACTTCTAAAAAAAACAGAGAAAAAAAAAGAAACTCAAAAATAAACGATTTTTTCACCTCTAAATCTAGATAAGAAGGAACTGTAAAACATAATTAAGAGAGAAATGACCACCTTAGTAGTAGACAATGGAACTGGATTTGTTAAATGTGGATTTGCAGGAGAAAATTTCCCAACAGCCATCTTTCCATCAATGATAGGAAGACCTCTTTTAAGGTCTGAAGAAAAGATTGGTGGAGTTGAAATTAAAGATGTTATGTTTGGAGATGAAGCAGCTGCTGTAAGACAAAATCTTCAAATCACTTACCCATTAGAAAATGGAATTATTAAGTCATGGAATGATATGGAATTATTATGGAACTATACATTTAATGAAAAATTACATGTTGAAACTACTGGCAAATCTATTTTATTAACTGAACCACCAATGAATCCACAACAAAATAAAAAGAAAATGGGTGAAATTATGTTTGAAAAGTTTGGATTTAATAGAGTGTATGTTGCTGTACAAGCCGTTTTAGTCTTATATGCACAAGGTATTATGACTGGTGTAGTTGTAGATTCAGGAGATGGAGTTACACATATTATTCCAGTATATGAAGGATGTGACTTACCATCAGTTAAAAGACTTGATGTTGCTGGTAGTGATATTACTAGAAGACTTATTGAACTTCTTCTTATCAGAGGATATTCATTTAATAGAACAGCTGATTTTGAAACTGTCAGAATGCTTAAAGAAAAGTTTTGTTATGTTGGGTATGATCTTGCTGTTGAAAATAGACTTGGTACTGAAACTACTGTTCTTATGCAACAATACACCCTTCCTGATGGAAGAGTTATTAAACTTGGACCAGAACGTTATATGGCACCAGAAATTTTATTCAATCCATCCTTAATTGGTAGAGAATCACTTGGTATTCATCATTGTCTTTTTGATTCAATTAATCAATGTGATTTAGATCTTAGAGCAGAACTTTATAAACATGTTCTTCTTTCTGGTGGAACCTCAATGCTTCCTGGTTTACCATCACGTTTAAAGAAAGAAGTTCTTCAATTGTACGATGAAAATGCTGCTGCTACTCTTAAAAAAGGATCTGCATCAGTTACTTCTCGTTCAGGAAATTCTGGTACTAATGCTAAAAAAGCTAGTATTCAAATTGTTATTGAAGATCCACCAAGAAGAAAGCATTTAGTTTTCCAAGGTGGTGCTGTTTTAGCTAAAGTCATCGAAGATAGAGATGAGGCTTGGGTTACAAAAGCTGAATATGATGAAAAAGGTGCAGAAGTTATGTTGAAGAGACCTAGTTTCTAAAAAAGAAAATTCGTCTAATCGTTCAAAAGCAAATTTTTTCAATAAATTTATGTTTTTATATTTTCTAATAATTTTATTTATAAAGATATTAAACTTTGAGTTTTTATTCTTCTATTTTGTTATTTGATTTTGAATGAGAAATGAAGAATGAAAATCAGAAACATATACAAACAATAATACAAAATCAAATAATAATTTTATCAATTGATATTTGGTTATGATGATGTAATTGAATAAAAAATGTATTAATTAATAATACAAAGAATGAAATAAGATAATATGAAAGAATAATAAGAAAAGAAAATAAATATAATAATAAGCAATTAATTAAGTATTCATTCAACATAAAATAAGAAATAAAGAAAGAATAATAAATAACTCAAAGTATTATTTTTATTGACAATACTTTTAGATAATTAATTAATTGAATGAATCATTTGATAATGAATAACAAAAGAATGTTGGAGAATTTGAATTTTGACTACGTTTTAATAATTAATTAGTGATTATTTAATTGAATTATAATAAAAATAAAGGAGAATGATAGTCATAAAAAATAGTTCAAATTAAAATTAAAAAGAAAAATTAAAGATAATACAACAACAAGAAATAATAAAGAGTGAATGAATGAAACATTGATACTATCAATGTTTTTGATGATATTGATGATTTTATTGATTTATAAATACGAGTTAAAATATTTCAATGAAATATGAATATTTTCATTTTATTCCAATTT